CCCACACTTCCCCCCTCGACTGCTCCACTGTGTACGCTTTGTGTCGAGGGCCGGCTCCGCCGTGCCCCTCACTCCTCCTCGCTTCGCCCTGCTACTGCTCCCCTTCAGACCCTGCACCTGGACGTTTGGGGCCCAGCCCCCGTCCCCGGACCGCGCGGTGCGCGCTACTTCCTTGTGCTCGTCGACGACTACACGCACTACACCATGGTGTTTCCCCTGGAGCGGAAGGCCGACGTGCCCGACATTCTTCTCCCGTGGGTTGTGGCTACGCGTCTTCACCGCAGTCTCCCCGTGTTGTGTCTCCACTCTGACCGTGGCAGCGAGTTCGCCTCTGGTCGGCTTGGCCAAATCTGTTGTGCAGAGGGCATCACCCAGTCGTACACCTTGCCGGACTCGCCACAGTAGAATGGGGTTGCTGAGCGGCGCATCGGCTTGGTCATGGAGGTTGCTCGTACCTCCATGATTCATGCCGATGCCCGCCATTTTCTGTGGCCGTTCGCTGTTCGCTACACTGCTCACCAGCTTAACTTGTGGCCAGGCTCCTTGCGGCCGCAGGTTTTGCCGACCCTCCTTTGGACCGGGTCCCCCGGTGACGCGTCTGCGTTCCACGTCTTGGGTTGCCTTGCTTGATGGAAATCGTGCAAATATGGAGAGAAATAATTAGAGATTAAGTCTGACGAACTCAACGGAACATTGCGTGCAGCTCAGGTAACTTCTAGAAATGAGGTTATAAGCGTTGGAAGGGTCTTAATCTCTACTTTCCAGAATGGTAAAGCATGTTCATAACCAAGATCTGAGCCGCCGATTATGACAAAATTAGTGTGAGGGGATATTCTGGTAATTTGGCTAGGCAGCCATGAATCACCTAGTAAAAACGAGAAGGGAAGCAGTTCGATCTGGAAAAGTTCGAGTATGAGATTGTCAAACACCACCAACCCTCGCCCTAGACCAAACCCCAAGAGTCCCAAGTGCCACAACTGCAACATCAAATATGTTGTAGAGGGGTTGAGGTTGTGTGGGTTGGAAAGGTAACGAGATCAAACCTGTCAACCAACCCAAGTTCTTTTGCCCAAATCCCAATAGCCCACAACCAGCTAGAGCAAACTACACCACAGAACACTACACATTTATCATTGCTCACATTCGTGCCTCTGGCGCGGACAAGCTCACTGCCCGCACTGTCCCCTGTGTCTTCCTCGGTTTCCCCCTGGACTCCTCTGACTGGCTCTTCTGCCATCCGCCGTCTCACTGCTTCCTTCACTCTCGTGTTTGACGAGTCTATCTCCTTCTACCGTCGCTTCCCTCACCGCGGTCTCCCAGTTCCCCCCCCCCTGTTCCTTGCTCCCTCTCCCCTGGTAGCCCCTGCTCCCCTCCCGCCTCGTCCTACCCCGTCCGGTGTCTTGCATGGCACTCCCCTCCCGTCGGTTGTCCCCGTTGAGGAGTCTGCTGACTCTGGTGGTCGCCTCGGCCCGTCCTTGTCGCGTCTCTCTTCCCCGGTCTCTCCGCCTCCGCTGTTGCAGTCGCCGCCGCTGTTGCAGCCGCCGCCGTCGCTGCCGCTCTTGGCCTCTGGGGGTGCTAGCGTTGAGGAGAGTGTTCGTCCTGCGGCTCCTGGCGTGGTCTGTCCCGGCGGGCCTGAGGGTGCCGCTCGTGCTGGAGGGGGTTCGTGCTCTGGGGGTGTTGGTTCTAGGGGTGCTGCCGTTGAGTGTTCTCCCGGCGGCCGTTGTGCCCCTGCCGGTCCGCGGGTCGAGACCCAGCCGTCGCAGCAGCCGCCGCAGCCGCTGCAGCCGTCGCCGCCGGTCTCCGCTCTTTGCCTGCTCGGCCGTCCCTCCCCTGACCGCTCGCCGGTTTCTCCCCCGCCACCTTCTCACCTCCCTGTCTACGGCCCTGTGTTCTCGCCCCTAGACTCTTCTCCGGCCCGTCTTCCTCCTCGTTCCCCTTTTGTGTCCCCTCCGCTGTCTCCTGACCCTACACCTTCGTTCCACATTTGGTCTCGCCGTCCCTCACGTGCTCGTCCCGTCTCCCCCGTCCTGCGCTCCCACCCTATGTTGCTCCGTTCTCACTCATCTCGTCCTCCCCTCCTCCCCTTACCTCCTCCCTCATCACTTGTTATTGCACCTCCCCCGCTGTCTGACTACCTCCGTGCCGCTCGTCCCCTTGTCCCTCGGGTCCTTGCCTCTCGTGTTACAGACCCGTCTGTTCCTGTCTCGCGCCTTGACGCGCTTGTTGCTGCTGTCGCTGACTTCGCCTCTACCCGCCGCCTTGACTACGCAACCGCTCTGGTCTCTGACCCTGCCCGTCCTCCGTTCGTCGGGGGTGCACCTGCCCTTGGCAGTGACGTTCTAGAGGACAGGCAGTACGAGCTTGCTTTCCTTTCTGAGGCCGCTCCCCATCTCTGCTCCATGCTCCTAGTCCCAGAGGGTGACCCAGACGCCTTCGACATCCCGACCCCTCGCACCTACGCTGAGGCCACCTCGGGACCCTGGGCCTCTCAGTGGATAGCTGCCATGGAGCAGGAGATTGCATCTTGGAGGTCCACCGGCACTTACGTCGACGCAGTTCCCCCGCCTGGGGTGAACGTAGTCGATGGTCGGTGGCACTTCAAGGTGAAGTGCCCCCCTGGAGAGCCGCCTGTCTTCTAGGCGCGCTACGTGGCTAGAGGCTTCAGCCAGCACAAGGGGGTGGACTTCTTCCAGACCTTCTCCCTGACCCCGAAGATGACTACTCTTCGGGTGCTGCTATACGTAGCAGCACAGCGTAACTACGAGCTTCACTCCCTCGACTTCTCCACTGCATTCCTTCAGGGCAGCCTACACGAGCAGGCCTACCTGCGCCGACCATAGGGCTTCACTGGTACCTTCCCCCCTGGGACTCAGTGGCTTCTCAGGCGCCCGGTCTACAGCCTGCGCCAGGCTCCCCGCGAGTGGCACGACACTCTGCGTGCCACATTAGCAGACCTGCAGTTCTTTCCGTCCTCAGCTGACCCCTCACTTTTTGTGCGTTCCGGCCAGACTCCGTTCTACATCCTTGTCTACGTAGACGAGCTTGTCTTCGCTACAGCTGACAGGGACGCACTGGCCTCCGTGAAGGCAGAGCTGCTGAAGAGACACACCTGCACTGACCTTGGAGAGTTGCGTCGCTATCTTGGCCTGCAGATCTCTAGGGACAGAGCAGCGCGCACCATCACTCTGACACAGTCACACTTGGTGCATCAGGTCCTTCAGAGGTTCGGTCTTCAGTTCTCCTCCGCACAGCCCACACCTCTACCTGTAGACCATGGGCTCTCCGCTCCCGAACCTGAGGAGCCAGTAGAGCCCAGCGGCCCCTACGCAGAGCTGGTGGGTTGCCTCATGTACTTGATGACTTGCACTCGTCCAGATCTCGCATACCCTCTCAGCATCCTGGCTCGCTTTGTGGCCACCGGCAGACACCGACGACAGCACTGGTCGGCCACTAAGAGGGTTTTGCGATATCTAGCAAGTACATCGGGCATGGGGTTAGTGCTCGGAGGACGCAGGCCAGTGGTTCTTACTGGGCACACAGACGCTTCTTGGGCAGATGACTCTGAGACTCTCGGGTCGTCTCAGGGCTACTATTTTAGCCTTGGTTCGGGTGCTATCTCTTGGAGATCTACTCGCTCGTCGGCTGTTGCTCAGTCCAGCTGTGAGGGTGAGATCTACGCCGGTGCCATGGCGGCATTGGAGCTCCGCTGGCTTACCTTCTTGCTCACAGACTTAGGTGAGCGGCCTAGCTCTGCCTCGGTCGTGTACGCTGACAACTGGGCCATGATTCTCTTGTGTCAGGAGCCTTGACTTGAGGGCAGAGCGAAGCATATCCAGCTGCGGTACTTTCTCCTGCGCGAGCTACAGCAGCGTCGCCAGGCCCGCGTAGTTCACTTGGCCTCCGGTGCCAACACAGCTGATATCTTTACGAAGGCGCTTGCGCCTAAAGATCATCAGCGGCACTGTTTGCAGCTTGGTCTTGTTCTTGTAGCTACTCACTTGTTAGGATCCTGATTGTGTACTCTCTACTTTATATACCTGTCTAACTGGCCTTGTGGCATTGCCTCCAGTGGCTGGACTAGTAGTGCCGCCTTGGTTTGCTTTAGTCTTGTTTGTACTCTTGCTGACTGGTCTCCGGACCAGGCCCCCAGAAGTCAGGAAAATTTTCCTGATTCAGGAAAAAAACAGGGTGTTGAGGGGTACCAGTCTTGATTTGCTAGGGTTTTGTTTTTGGGATTTCCTGAAATTTCAGGGTTTTTTTGTAAGGGATATCTGTTAGCTCAGTTTTTTTTTGTAAGCGATCCTGAAATTTCGGACTTGTATCGAGCATGGGTTCTGAGGCTCTACGAGGGAAGAGATTCCCTCCGCCCCTGCAATCTCGTCGCCTCCCCCCCCCCCACTCAGCCCTCCCCCCTCTCCCCCCCACCAATTGTCGATTCCTTTCCTGCCCATCCCCCAATCTCGCCCAACGCGCAAGAATTCGCTACGAATTCCCAGCACCCTCAACAATCAAGACTTGAACACACATAATCCATAAACTAAAACATGTATAGAAACTTTGAGAAATCAGGATTTTTTTTTAAGTAATTCTGATGGCTCAGGATTTTTTTTTGGGGGACCCTGAAAATTCAGAATTTTTTTAAGGGAGAATCCGGATGGATCAGGAAGCCTCAAAACCAATCTAGGGCCCTGCTCCGGACCCCTGCCTCAGTGGTTGGACTAGTAGTGCCACCCTGAGCTGTGTGCTTCTTGCTTAGCACCACCCCTTCTCTAGCCTAGGGGGTGTGTCAACTTATACATATGCTGTATGTAGAAGTTATAGGCTAGACCAGGTGTGTGCCTCTAGTGAGTACAACCCCAACAAATATATGTTATAGGTTTCTCACACTAGTGATCATTCTTGCATTCTGACAGATGCGCGCGCTTCTTCTGAACCCCGTCATTTTGGGCTGCGAATTCAATTGCAATGCTCGCTTTGGGGTACTGGGTTACCGCTCGGGGGTGTTCAAGGTTAATAATCTTGAAACACAATTTCTGCAATTTGGGTCAACGGCTTTAAGGAGCTAATAACCTGTTGTGAAGTGAGCCGCGAGGCCAGAACACAACACGTAATGTCGACGGAAGCAAATGTCGGTTGCACGGACCAGAGCGCAGAGAGCCGAGTTATGAGGAAAAATACAGCTCAACAATTCCCGAGAAATCCCTGGAACGTGAAGGCATGGTTTACTCAGGTGGTGAGGAACGAGAGCAAGAGTTGCGTCCTAGTAAGTACCCAGCTACTCACTGCTGAGCCCTCTGCGCCCTCCGGGACGCTATTCTCTGCTCAGCAGCCCAAGCGAACACCGATTTCACCGGGTCCGTATTTAGCGTCCGCTGCTGCTGCTGCTGCTGCCGCTGGTGCGCCTGGTAGATTCTGCCAGCAGCGCTCGTCGACACAGCAGGAGCATAGGTGCTCGACGACATCTCCGTCGGCTGGACTGTGCGAGAATCGCATGCACGGTGCGCGGCGGCCGATGGCGCCGAACGCACGCGGCAGCAGTCACAGCTCGCCGCCTGCGCCGCCAAGCGACCACAGGCAGAGGCCGAACTCCATGGCCGGCTCTGCTGGGAATCGTCGGGTCGTTGCGACGCGGCTGAACTGGGCAGGTATGTTTGGGCCAACGGGCTGGGGAGACGTCGGCTGGTTACCGCTGCGTCCGCTGCGTTCGCCCCGGAGGGAAGCGGCAGGCCTGCACGACCAGAGTCGGCCGAGCTCGCAGTCGGTAAAATCTGCCGCTTGCCGTCACTCACTTGACGGTCGTGGCTGTTCGCCAACTCTGCTGCTGACTCGGACGCCGCTTGGCCGTAAGGCCGTCGGTAGATGACCGCTCTTCCGCGCCGCCACATGAGCGCAGTCATCGCGTCGCTCCAGAGCGCGTTTGTGTCCTTCTCCCCCAGCGCGTGCGCACTTCGGGAGCGGCGGAGCGAGTGGCGGAGCATTTGCTCCCGCGCCTCTGAAACCACGGCATCCAACGGTCGCGCTGGCTTCAGGCTATCGAACGACTCGGAGTCTTTGCCAGCCGATCTCACTTGCGAAGGCTCGCTCCTGCTGCGTTTCATCCGCCGCTGCGCGCGGATCTGCTCGAAACTCTTCCCAAACGCGGGTTGGGTTGCGCGATTCCACGAGTCGAGTCGCCGCTGGGACGAGTCCAGCGTCAGGCGATTTCTGCGACCCTGAGGCGGCCCGTCGCGCGACGACGCGTACGGGAAGACGGAAACATAGCTGGTGTCGCGCGGGTTGTCGTTTGTGGCGGTGAGAGCAGCGAGATGCTGCAGCTGTTGCAGCGACAGCCCCGAGCCGTCACGGTGGCTTGCGGGCTCGTCCCGCGCGGTTGACGGGGGCTCTGGTCCCGTCGCTTCATTGGCGCTTTGGGGGGAGGCGACTTGGTTAAGAGCGGATGGGCTTTCTCCTGATTGCGCCACGCGGCAATCACCAGTTGTCCCCGCCATTGCTGGAAATCGAGTGGAGGGCGGAGGTGGTGAATGCGAGGCGATTCCCGCGCGTCTGGCTGTCGCATTGCCGCGTGCGGGGGACGAATCAGCGGAATTCGCGGGAGAGGAAGGCAGCGACAGCAGTGCGAATTGCTGGGCTGTTGTGACAGCGAGTGCGCGAAACGAAGCTGAGGCTGAGCGAGTATGATGAGTTCGTCTGCCAGAAGTTGAAGTTCCGACGGAATCCATCGTTGCTGCAGTTATCGTGAGGGGAATAATTTTTTATTATTGAAGCTGGGGCTTCTTGTGTGATAAAGTAGCTGGCTTCAGCCCGAGACTCGATGAAGCGAGGGAGGAGATAGCGGGTGGGAACAAGAGGATGGGACAGCTGGGCTGGGAGCATAGCGCGAATACAACTGCTCCAGTGCACCACTCTGTCGCAGAGGGGATTTGGGATGAATCGAACACACCGCCACGACGAAAATGAAATCCAATATTTCAGAAATGAGGGGGGTCCTGTTGTCTGGTCGAACTTCATTTTCACGAGGGCGTCTGATTGAGGTTGAATGAGGTGCTTCATGTTATAGAGCGATAAAAAAGATATCTGAAACGATTGAGTATGATATTAAGCTAAAATGTGTGTTAAAACACACCCTCGCAATACGACAGCAATAAGACTTATGCCAATGACCCGGTTTCTATTCCTAGAGAAATGAAATTTTTAAAAACTTGAATATTTTTTCTTGTTTCGTTTAGACTGCATTCGTTTTTCTATTTTGTGGTCGTAATCACTTATGGTTATATAATTGTAAATGTAGATCTGTAACAGAATGTGATTTACCACCTAGATTTCCCATATGGACGAGCTCACGCATGGCGTTGGCACCAACTGTTCAACCCCACCACCACCCTACAGTTCAATGCCGCCCGCATCTCGCAAAAATTACGTCACGTGGGGGTAGAGGGCACCCTTCAGGATTACTTTCAGGCCTCACAAAAATGGCGGTCTTCCTGTGGGCATGCGGAAGGCAGACGCGAATATTCCGCTACTGTCCAAAGACCACCGTGCGATCCCCGCAAGTGGCGCTCCACGCGTGGAGTGAAAATCAGTTCATTTCGGTTTGGGGTCGGTTTGGGGGAGCAAGGGAAGCAGAGTGGCAAGCAAGCAAGCACAGCCTTCGGTTCGGACCAGATCTGCTACAAACGATGTCCGCAAAGTGCCTTGCCCAAGAAAAATCCCAGTTGCACCCTCTCGCCCAATAGAAGAAGTTTACGCGCAGTATCCGTTTCGAGAGAGTCCCCCGCGCCGGCAACTGTGCTGAGTCATCATGACAGCGGGGATGAACATGCGGACAGCGACGAAGCAGTTGCAGCCTTCTGGTTCTCGCCACATATTTTCGGACGGCGTCGCGAGGGCGGTTCGTCCAGGCCCAAATGACCTTTCGCGTTTTTCGCGAAGCCGCGAAGGACACGAGCGCAATGGAAATCTACGGAACACCGCAAACGGGAAATACCTCGATGACTCAGCATGGCATGACCCCTTGGCAACTGACTGAACTAGAGCCCTATTCGGTCGAAACAACTCCACACTTATCGAAGCCGCACAAATTGTGAGCAAATGTCATGTTCGTGACCTATTGGTTGAGCTAATTAAACAGTACTTGGGGTTGTTTCTGATCGTCGCAGTGCTAAACAGCGTAACCGTGGTTACATACGCAATCTGAACTCTGCCACCCAACCTTCCCCTATTGCGACAAAATAAGTTACCAACGAGCTCACCCTGAATCCCTCGCTTCTAGCAGCGAAAGCCGGCGAAATACCAAATATACAGAAGCCCCCGCGGCTCGAAAAGGTGGCGTTCCTCTCTCGGGCTCAAGCTGTATCGAGTTCGTGGTGTGTCCTTGTCCGGGATCTAGCCGTGTTGTAGATTTGGTCTATTGCGAATGGGGCGGGATTTGAGGGGGCGCTGCTTGAGGGGGTGAATCGCCGACTAGAGGAACGGGAGGGGGGAGGGGCCCGCGGGGGAGGGGGGGGGAGGGTGGGGGGTGTGGGGGATGGTGGTGGTAGAGTGTGGGAGCGTAAGTGTTCAAATAGATATGGACAATGTTCCCAAGGCGATGTCTACCAACCCCTAGGTTACTCGCAACTCCGATCGCATCTCAACCGTCGATCCGTCCTATGATAGTACATGGCCAACCTTGGATGCTTCCTCTGATGAAGAAGCGCCATCACCGCCTTTTCTGTACCAACGGCCAGTACGCCGCATCCAACACATACAGAGGATTACGGTAAGGCATGTAGGATTAGCTAGAAGGGGAGGGTGATATGGGGGAGTACTACGATCATCTGTAGATCTTTCCCCTCCTGACAACTCCTCGGATAATTTTTCCGATTGAGATCTTTTTTCCAGCGGCACGTACTTGCACTATTTCACGCACGATCTCACGGTGACAGCCGTCGTATTAACCATTCAAGCTGGCCCTTCCGCCAGTTTTTACGATTTCTGTCGATTCGTAAATGAAACCACGTGGCACGTGACGTAGCTCTGATCAAACAACATCCAGATCCTCACATATAGTTGCCGATCTACATCGCCTAGACTTCCCCATTCCCAATCCCTTTCTTCAGATTCGTCTACAATGGAGATGACTTATGAGTCGACTCAAAAGCAAGGCTTCACCGACAAATCCGGCGTGCAATCGGATCAGTTGAAATCCTCGGGCTGTTTGCCCGTGAGCCAGTGGAGGGTCACGTTAGGCGCTAGGTCGAGTGGTCCATCGGCGAATTTTAATATTGCGGTGTCGTCAGCGCATTGTATATGGTTCCCGATGCTGAGAAGACGTTGAGAAACGGTTGAGAGTAGTGTCTCCGTGCGTGAATATCGCTCCTACCAAGCCCCATTTCCTTCCACATCCCGCATTACAATTTCCCCCACCCAGACCCATATTTCTATAAGCGTCACAAGGCTTACCATTCTTATATCATCCATTCCAAACCTTGGTGTCACAACTTCCCCCTGCCCCCTCCTTACAGTCCCCAGCAGCCTCAAGCCCACGTCGAGTTTCCCTCTAGCTCCTGCCGGGACAGCATCACAGATCCAGCTCCAAGGCCGCATTGGACGGAGTTGCAAGACCCTGAACGATGTACGACCCACGAATGGTGATAATGACGCCGCGCAGCCACTGGGCTGAGGAGCTGGTGAAGGAGCACGCGTCAGGAGTAACATCAGGAATGAAGCGAGGCCGGGACGGCGATCATGAAGACCATGATAGTGACGGCGCTGCGAGCGGGGATGTGAGGAGGCTCAGGGTCCTCCGCCCCTGTGCTTCAGCTCCTGCAGCAGCAATCCCTTCAGCGTTGCCTTCAGCCGTGCCTTCAGCCGTGCCTTCAGCTGTGCCTTCAGCCGTGCCTTCAGCCGTGCCTTCAGCCGTGCCTTCAGCCGTGCCTTCAGCCGTGCCTTCAGCCGTGCCTTCAGCCGTGCCTTCAGCCGTGCCTTCAGCCGTGCCTTCAGCCGTGCCTTCAGCCGTGCCTTCAGCCGTGCCTTCAGCCGTGCCTTCAGCCGTGCCTTCAGCCGTGCCTTCAGCCGTGCCTTCAGCCGTGCCTTCAGCCGTGCCCTCAGCCGTGCCTTCAGCCGTGCCTTCAGCCGTGCCTTCAGCCGTGCCTTCAGCCGTGCCTTCAGCCGTGCCTTCAGCCGTGCCTTCAGCCGTGCCTTCAGCCGTGCCTTCAGCCGTGCCTTCAGCCGTGCCTTCAGCCGTGCCTTCAGCCGTGCCTTCAGCCGTGCCTTCAGCCGTGCCTTCAGCCGTGCCTTCAGCCGTGCCTTCAGCCGTGCCTTCAGCCGTGCCTTCAGCCGTGTCTTTCGCCGTGCCTTCAACCGTGCCTTCAACCGTGCCTTCAACCGTGCCTTCAGCCGTTCCGCCTTCAGCCGTTCCTTCAGCCGTGCCTTCAGCCGTGCCTTCAGCCGTACCTTCAGCCGTGCCTTCAGCCGTGCCTTCAGCCGTGCCTTCAGCCGTACCTTCAGCTGTGCCTTCAGCCGTACCTTCAGCCGTGCCTTCAGCCATGCCTTCAGGCGTGCCAGGAGCCATGCCTTCAGCCGTGCCAGGAGCATGTGATGACACGGCGGGCAGACTCGCTGCTGAGAGCTCATGGGTGGAAAGAGGAGCTGCTTGCGCCCCAGAGCAACAGAGATTGTCAGCAGCATCTGATGACAAGGCGGATAGACATGCTGCGGAAGTAGCCGACACAAGGACCACTCTGCTGCATGGAAACTCCCCAACCTCGACTGGGTCAGCGAACCAACGACAGCGTCATGAATGCACTCGACCCCAGCTACTACTTTCTGCTGATGGTTCATTCGGGGAAAGCGTACCCGTTAGAGAGCAGTGGAGCGTTCTTGCAGGCGCTTCAAAACTCAGCACGCAGCCAAGCTGGGCTGATTACGTTCGGAGCAAGGAGTTGCTGGGAATCACAGTGCTGTCTGCGAAGACGCTCCAACCCCTCCAGAGTGCAGATCGATGTGTGGAAGCATGCAATGCCCGCACAGTGGAGTCAATGGAGGGATGTAGAGCTGAGGCAAATGAGGGAGGTGCAGCGAAGCCAATGAAGTCAAATGAGGGACGTGCGGCTATGTTGAATGGGGGAGGTGCAGGCAAGTCAATGGAGGGATGTGCATGCTGGGAAAAGCCACCTGGTACTCGAGCCATCATCCCTGATCTGAACGTTCCTACCTGTGAGGCTGACAGCTTGACACTCAAGCTGCATGCATGCATTATCATCTCAATATATTTAATTTGCTGGAATGGCGTGTGCCGGGCATCCTTCAGCATTCCAGGTGCCCTTGCTTTTAGAGTTTTTGGGTTGTGCTTCAAAATATATAACATCATTAACTTCTCAATTGTACAGTCATCAACCTATCAGTAAAGCGAGGCATCTACTAACAGGTACTATCTTTTAGAGTTGCCAGGCATGCCCTATCCAGATTTTAGCTGGCCTTTTTCTCTCACGAATTTCTGTCCAAGCAGCAGCTTCGCTCATCGCATTCAATTCTAACGTATCCACTGTTGCTTCGCGGATCGCCCAAGAGCGTGGCCTACTCTCGGCGGCTCGGCTTTCCTCATCACTGGCCACGTAGTATATCCCCTGAGCGCGGCCGTTTCTGCTCTCAACACTTCAAAGGTTAGACTCGCCGCAATGCAGACCTGCGATGGTGTCATCCGCCGCGTCAGCCACGCGCCTCAAATTGCGATAATGGCATGTGCCCATTCTTTCTAATCCTCAGGTATCACCCAACCCATCCTATCACCCATTCTATCACCTTCTCCGCGCCTTCAGCTAGAGCCCTGCTGCTCCCATGCCGTCGCCGCTTGCGGCAAGCGCATTCCGCCCCGCTCCACATATAACGCCTCGCTACCCACTGGGTTATAACAAGGTTACCAAGAGGCGCAGCGGAATGCGTTTACAATCTCTAGGGTAATTTCCGTCCGCAGACGTTACACCGCGCGCCCGGCGATCGCATTCCCAACTCGTTATATGCACGGTTCGATATAAGGACCACCAGCCAACGCACTCTGGTCCAACCACGTGACGTCAGCTGCGCAAGTCGACACAGCGCAAGCGGATGCGGCGCCAGGAAAAGCGACCGTGGATGCAGCGCAAGCGGGTGCAGCGCAAGCGAGAGCAGTGCAATAATTCGTGACCGAGAAAACCGTACCTGACGCACACGCGCCGCCGATTCCAGTCCCCGCTCCCGCCTGGCCCGCATTCTCCGCCGCGTTTTCCGGCGAGTTGGCGAGATACTCGGTCAATTTCTCCTGCTTCGGCCACCTCTTGGAGCTCCCGCAGTACGTCGTCCCCGAGCCGTTCCGCGTTCCGCGCTCTGCATTCCGCGATTAAAACAGGAGAAAAACATGTTCCGGCTCAAGGGAAATCCGTTGGAGCTCTCGCAGTCCGTCGTCCCCGAGCCGTTCCGCCACTCGGGGCTGGCGCAACTCGCCTGGCAGGCGCAGACGTCCAGGCCGCCTGCTCACAATTCAGAGGTGATTGCGGAGGGGGAGGGGAGTGAGGCAGCAAGAGAGGGGAGGTTGAAGGCGATTGAGGGGAGGTGGGAGGTGGTTGCTCGAGAAGCCCAACTGCCGCTAGTTAGCTGTTGGCTTCCTCTCTAGCTTGCCATTCTTGTTTCCTGTTCTATCCATGAGTATTTTTTATCACACTTGACCAAAGCGTTGAGTCATCAACGGACATGAATTCTGTGTGAAATGAGCTCATATTTTTTCATTGATTGCTTGTTTCCTCTCATTTTCTAGGACAGCTGGCAGGACCTCATTAGCTCGTGGGTCCGTGGGAGATAACTGGGGAGTAGGTGACGGGAGGAAAGGGGAGAGTATGAAAAGGCGAGGGAAGCAAGGCGACACGGCAATGAGAGGCAAGGGGCGCAAGACATAAGAGGAGCACACTTGGAGGCTGAGCTGGATTTGGAAGAGGCAGAGGCGTTGGAAGAGGCACAAGAGGTCCAAGAGGCACAAGAGGTCCAAGAGGCACAAAAGGTCCAAGAGGCACCAGAGGTCCAAGGGAGTGAGCTGAGGGAGAAGCAGCACACTGTGGAGGAGAGGAGAAGGCGCCACCGCAAACGGTAAACATCCAACACAAACCCAATTTCTCCAAACTATATGCTCCAGAGAATGCCTGTGGGTTTGTACCAGTTGTCTCGGTAGGACCAAACCCTTAATCGTTGTGGTCTTCATCCCATTTTGCAAAGACACTCTCCTTCGCCGGTGAGACATTGTGCCCGAGTCGACGTTCGGTCTCACAGGGACACTGCCCGCAAATGCTTAGGCCCTTACTCACCTCCATACTTGCCATTATCCTCTCTCCCTGCAGGGACGCCCTCCTTCACGTGTGAAATATTGTGCCCGAGTCACTGCATGGCCCAGACAGGAACATTGCAGGCATGCTCAAAGCGGCAGTGGCCCAGATTCGCGGACTGGAGGTAAGCTCTCAAGGGCTACAGACCCTAAGATAACATGATTTCATAGCAATTTTTTTTTGCTTTTTGCTTGTTGCCCAGTTTCCTGAACCCCCTTGAGCCGGTATGTGTGTGTGTGTGTGTGTGTGTGTGTGTGTGTGTGTGTGTGTGTGTGTGTGTGTGTGTGTGTGTGTGTTTGTGTGTGTGTGTGTGTGTGTGTGTGTGTGTGTGTGTGTGTGTGAGTGTGTGTGTGTGTGTGTGTGTGTGTGTGTGTGTGTGTGTGTGTGTGTGTGTGTGTGTGTGTGTGTGTGTGTGTGTGTGTGTGTGTCTGAGTGTATGTGTGTGTGTGTGTGTGTGTGTGTGTGTGTGTGTGTGTGTGTGTGTGTGTGTGTGTGTGTGTGTGTGTGTGTGTGTGTGTGTGTGTGTGTGTGTATGCGTGGGTGCGTGGGTGCGTGCGTGCGTGCGTGCGTGCATGCGTGCGTGCATGCGCGTGCGTGAGCGTGTGTGCCCATGTGTGCGCGTGCGTGCGAGTGCGTGCGCGTGCATGCCCGTGCGTGCGCGTGCGTGCCCGTGCGTGCGCGTGCGTGCCCGTGCGTGCCCGTGCGTGCCCGTGCGTGCTTGTGCGTGCCCGTGCGTGCCCATGCGTGCACGTGCGTGCGCGTCCGTGCCCGTGCGTGCCCGTCCGTGCCCGTGCGTGCACGCGCGCCCGTGGGTGGGTGGCTGTGTGTGTACGTGCGTGCGTGTGTGCGTGCGTGCGTGCGTGTGTGTGTGTGTGCAAATATCTCCTAATAAATATTATTATTCTTATCGTAGGAGTATCTGGAGTATCTCGAGCATTGACACGCTCAGAAAGGCAAGACGTTACAAAGGAAGGTAGACAGCAGAGGTTCGAAAGGCCCTTTTTTTTCCATCACCTCCTTTCCCCCCAAACTTTGCGATGTTAGTCAACATTCATTGTACAAATGCTATCTTGAACCCAAAATCCTGAAAACCAGATCTTTAGAAGCATGCACGTTTGAAAGCTCAATGCCAGTTATCCACGCACAATTGCCAAATAAATCAAGTTCACTCAGTTATTATCATGCCCATCACATGCTCGTGAACCTGCCTGTAGCAGGCTAGCATTCCCTTCAAAGCACAACATAGCGGACACATAGCTGTTAGAACCTAAGCTAGGTAGGAAGAGGAAGCCATGAATGGCGAGAGGTTTTAGGCTCCAGTAACACCTACCAAGCCTATAATTATATATAACATATAATTTAAAACACCCCCTAGGCTTGGTAGCCGAAATCACAGCACACACACAGCATACTAAGCCACACACCCCCTAGCACCCCCATACTCAGCAGCAGCGACGGCTACTCCCGCATGGTCAACCCCACGGTGCGTGAGCCAGTGCGACGGCGACAACAAGGGCAGCGGCTGCAACGGCGGCAGCGTCGACAGTGGCGGCGGCATGGCCAGCGGCACCAGCTGCGGCGGCGGCGGCTTCGACGACAGCTGCTGGCGGCGGCGAAGCTCGCAGCACTCGGCGGCGTGGCCAGGCTCCGTGACGGTGGGACGGCCGGCGTGAGTCAGCCGTCGGCTGCGGCGATGAAGAAGGGGGGACGCAGGGGAATGGTGGGGGGCGGGGCTTCAGCAGCGGAGGCCGGGAGCGTGCCGCCCCGTGTGGCGCGCTGGCTGCATGTGGGCGTGCTGGCCAGCGCTAAGACGAGGCGCTGGCCGCTGCCGACCATGCCGTATGCGTGCCGGCAGCACGTCGCCACGGCAGCACGACGGCGCCGTCACGCCGCCACGGCTCGACATCGACGTCGCCGTCACGCCACCACGGCTTGACATCAACGCCACGGCAGCGCGACAAGACGGCCGCGGCAGCACGACGCGGCCGGCGGCACGACGACGCCGCCACAGCAACACGACGCGGCCGCCATGGCAGCGCAAGGGAGAAAGGGCGAGTACGCGGCGGAAGCGTGGGGAGCAGGCTCGGGAGGGGCAACCTGCTCTGATACCATGTTAGAAACTAAGCTAGGTAGGAAGAGGAAGCCATGAATTTGCGAGAGGTTTTAGTCTAGGAAAAAATATCGAGAGAGAGGAGTCTAAGATTAGAAGAGAGAGGGATACAAGGAGGGAGTTGTACCCTCTACAGTAGGTTCCAGTAACACCTACCAAGCCTACAATTATATATAAGATATAATTTAATATAAGCATCAATGTTGTGGTACTGCTGTAAGCGGCATCCTTATGCATGCACCATCTCCACACCAACATACCACCAGGAAACTTCCCCAGAAAACTTCATTCTTAACCCTCATCCCATCCCACCCTCCTCCATTCTATACAATCCCAACCCCTCCTCCCTCCTGCTTGTGAGTGAACTCAAAGCAAGCCTGCATCTTAGTGTCAAACATATTCTTGTATGCCGTTATAGACTTGTGCCTTAGAGAGTACAACCCACTAGGTTATATTCCATTGTATGCCATGGTTCAATTCTTTGTTAACTTTGATATGGTATCATGAGTAGGTTAGGTCCCCCCCGCCCACCAGTGCTTCCGCCGTAGGTCCTAGCCGCCCCGTCGCCCTCCCGCCCGTGCTGGCCCGTCCCCTAGTGGCCCGTCACCCGTCGCCTAGCCGGCCCCGTCGCCCAGCCGACCCCGTCGTCTAGCCGGCCACATCGCCTAGCTGGCCCCGTCGCCTAGCCGGCCCCGCCGCCCAGTCGGCCCCGTCGCCTAGCCGGTCCCGTCGCCCCGCCGGCCCTGTAGCCTAGCCGGCCCCGTTGCCTAGCCGGCCACATCGCCTTGCCGGCCTTATCACCTAGTCGGCCCCGTCGCCCGACCGGCCCCGTCGCCTAGCCGGCCCCGTCGCCTAGCTGGCCCCGTCACTTAGTCGGCCCCGTCGCCCAGCCGGCCCCGTCGCCTAGCCGGCCCTGTCGCCTAGCTGGCCCCGTCGCCTAGCCAGTCCCATCGCCAAGCCGGCCCCGTCCCCTAGCCGGCCCCCGTCTCCTAGCCGCCTTGCCGACCCCGTCGCCTCGCCGCCTGCGGCCCCGTCTCCTAGCCGGCACGTGACCCCGTCTTCTAGCCCGCCACATGGCCCCTGTTCACCAGCTGCCCACTGGCCTCGCCGCCCAGCCTCCTCGCGGCCCCGTCCCTCAGCTGCCCCTGCGGCTCTCACCTCGCATCATCGGCCATTTCCACCGCACTGCACCGCACTCCACCGCCCTGCACCGCACTCCTCTGCATTGCACCGTACCGCACACCACTGCTTCCCGCCGCACTCTGTCGCTCAGTACAGCCCACTACCGCCTTCCTGCTGCTGCTGCGACCATGATGGCCGACTCGGTGCTGCGCTTTAACGCGGAGGGTCAGCCGGTTGAGTTCGACACATGGCTCGTCGACCTCCGCCGTCACCTCATTAGTCAGCAGCAGGACGGCCACTCCCTGGCCCTCCACATCGACGGTACGCTCCCCTGCCCTAACCCCCCTACTGCTCTACCCGCTGACCCCTCGTCTGTTGACTGTGAGTCTGCTGCCGCTGCTGCCCTTGCCCGTGCTGTCTGGTTGTCGCGTGACGCTGTCGCTTAGCTCGCGATTAGTCATGCCCTCCCTCTGTCTGAGCGTCCCTGCTTTAGGTCGGTCAGGACTGCGTAGGAGCTCTTAGAGGCTGTTGTCGCGCGCTATTCCACCTCGCCCTCTACCTCCGTCGGTCGCCTCATCCTGCCCATGCTCTTTCCTGATCTCGCGTCTTTCTCCACTATCGCTCACCTAGCTGCCCACTTGCGCACGCTAGACGCGACCTGGCGCGCTGCCTGCACTAAGGCCCAGTTTCGTGTGTTTCAGCCCCACATCTGCTATACCCTCTACTTGCTTGCCACCCGCCTCCCTGACCACCTTGCTACCTCATATACCTGATGACTTGCACTCGTCCAGATCTCGCATACCCTCTCAGCATCCTAGCTTGCATTGTGACCACCGGCAGACACCGACCACAGCACTGGTCGGCAGCTAAGAAGGTCTTGCGTTATCTAGCAAGTACATCGGGCATTGGGCTAGTGCTAGGAGGACGCAGGCCAATGGTCCTCATCGGGCACACAGACGCTTCTTGGTAAGACAACGTCGAGGCTCTCAGGTCCTCCCAGGGCTACTCTTTTAGTCTTGGTTCAGGTGCCATCTCTTGGAGGTCCACTTGCTCCTCGTCTGTTGCCCAATCTAGCTGTGAGGCTGAGATCTACGCCGGTGCCATGGCGGCACAGGAGTTGCACTGGCTGACCTTCTTGCTCACAGACTTAGGTGAGCGGCCTAGCTCTGCCCCGGTTCTGTACGCTGACAACAGGGCCATGATCCTCCTGTGTCAGGAGCCTAGACTCGAGGGCAGAGCGGAGCACACCTAGCTGCGGTACTTCCTCCTGCGTTAGCTATAGCAGTGTCGCCAGGCCCGCGTAGTACACTTGGCCTCCGGTGCCAACACAGCTGATGTCTTTACGAAGGCGCTTGCGCCTAAAGATTATCAGCGGCACTGTGTACAGCTTGGTCTCGTTCCTGTAGCCTCTCATTTGCTAGGGCCTTGATTGTGTACAGACCTTAATATATACTACCCTGACTGGCCTTGTGGCCACTTCCCAGTGGCTGGACTAGTAGTGCCGCCCTGGTCTTGATCTTGCCTTGTTTGTACCCGTTTGACAGGTCTTAGACCCTTGCCTCAGATGCTGGACTAGTAGTGCCACCCTGAGCTATTTGTCTCTCACCAGGCACTGCCCCTATCCAGTCTAGGGGGTGTGTCGAACATATACTTGTATGCTGTTATAGACTGCACAGAGAGTAGAACCCACTATGCCATGGTTCAATTCATTCGTTAACTTTGACACTTGGTACCACGGCCTCAGATTTCAGGATGTTTTATCCCGAATTCCTTATTTTCAGGATGGAAATTAGGTGCCAGTCCTGAGTTTCCAGTTAAAACCCATTTCTCACCCTGGAATTTTAGTTTAGAGTTTGTGTACCAGCCCTGAACTGTCAGTATGCCTTCGGGGATAACCCTGATTTATATGCACCATGGGGGTACCCCTTGTTTTCCCCTTGTTTGCTGCCTTAGCTCTCTCTCACGTCTTGGTCAGTTTGCCGAGTGCACTGCAGCAAGCCATCACCACATGAAGCGCTGACACTTTGCTGCCATGGCGCGCTGCTGCCAAAGCGGTTGGCAGCACAACATGCATGAAAACTGGTGTTCTGTAACGTTGGGCAAGTTTTTCAGCGTACCAGAATTTACCCTAGGACCTTAGTATAGAACTTGGGAATCACCCTGAGGAATCAGTATGCATAGAAGCGGTCAGCCCTGAGTGATCAGGATGCCAGAATTCCTATCTGAGGCCCTGCTTGGTACAAATCCCACCCAACCCACACCTATATACAACCCGTCCCTCCTCCCTCCTCCCCCTTGCGTTCGAGTCGGCTCGACTCTAAGCAAACGTGCCTCCAGGCACTCATCCCACACACCTCCATTATATACAACCCCAACCGCTCCTCCCTCCTATTCTCCTGCCATTTATCTACAACCCTCCACCTCTCCTCTGTTCTGCCCTTCACCCTCCCCTTAGTCCGGCAGGGAGAGGGAGGGGGTGACGGGAGCGGGGAGCCTAAGGAATGGCAGGCACAGCCCCATCTCACACACGTTGGGGCGAGGCAGTCGAATCACCACAGGCTCGCCACCCTCCCCCACATCCACCAATGCTGTGTCGCCAGCTGTGAACACGCCCTCCCTCACCCCACTGATGTCACCCAGCAATGCGCTGATGTCAGCATGAGCTGGGGCATTCGCCACATCAGCGGAAATCTTGGGAAGCAGAACAGACGGGACAGATGGCAGCGAATCTGACAGGACATCAGTGCTGCTGCTGACGTGGCTGTGGAGGCTGCTGCTGCCGCCCGCCGCCAGCACAGCCTCGCTGATCGGGTCATCGACCAATCGTGTGACGGCTCGTCGCAGCGGGCGGGCACCATAGCCCCTGTCGTACCCCTCCTCGCAGATTCGCTCCATCAATGCCTCTGACACCTCCAGGTTGATTCCCCTTTGGGCCAGCCTGTCAGCTGACTCGCGCACCATCATGCTCGCAATCACTCGGATCTGGCGTGGAAGGGAGGGGAGGGGAGGGGAACGAACAAGGGAGGGAGGGAAGGGGGGTTCACTCCATGAGTGCCTCTGACACCTCGGTTGATTCCCCTCTTGGCCAGCCGCTCAGCTGACTCCCGCACCATCGGGTCTGCAATCACTCGGATCTGGTGCGGTGGGGAGGGGTGGGGAGGGGAGGGGAGGGAACACGGGTGTTGACACCTCTGCTCTCTTTCCTGCGCTCAATCCAATTCATCAGCTCGGGTCAGAAGCGTGCCTTCAGCTCCCCAGACCACCACCTCCCTCAATGCCGCATACTGAGCCCCCCTTGCTCCCTTGCTATCCCTCCATCCTCACCTGTGACCTCCTCCCCAGTCTCACCTGCTCTTTCCCCGGCGCTCGGAACACCAACACTTCATCTATCCGGTTCATCAGCTCCGGCCTCAAGTGCGCTCTCAGCTCCTCAAAGAGCACCTCCTTCATCGCGCACCTATTGTTGAGTGCATTTTCTATATCCCTGCATCCCTCTGCCCTTCCCTTCTGCTGCTCACCTGCTCTCTCCCCAGCGCTCGGAACACCACCACTTCATCTCTCCGGTTCATCAGCCCATGAGTTCACCTGCTCCCACCGCTTCATCCTCACCTGCTCCCACCCGCTTCATCCTCACCTGCTCCCTTTCGAGTGCTCGGAACACCACCACTTCATCGATGCGGTTCATCAGCTCGGGCCGGAAGTGCGCCTTCAGCTCGCCCACCACCACCTCCCTCATCGCCGCATACCGCCCGCCATCCGCCTGCCCTCCTACTCCCCCCTTCACATCGCCATCCCCATCCCCTCCTGGCATGAGGAACCCGATGCGGTGGGAGCCGCCCCTGGCGATGGTCTGGGAGCCCACATTGGACGTCATGACGATCAGGGCGTTCTTGAACGACACGTGGCGGCCCTGGATTGGTAAGAGAGGAGAGGAGAGGGAGCAGGTGGGGAACAGGTTTGCAACGAAGTGCCTGAGACAGAAGGAACCCAGAAGAATTAGCTGGTCGCGACTAAGAACACATAACGCCCAGATATAAAGCCCATAGAGAACCCGTCTATAGAGAAACCCTTTACACAGCAGCGGACCAAAAACTGTGAATAAATCTAAACTCACCCGACAGTACAGTACACCAGCCGAACGTCTTCAGATATCCGCTTTAGGAGATTCAAGAAATCCGTATTCTAAATATTTGCACATCAATCCTAACTGGGAACCCGTCAGCCACCCGTCTTCAAAGATTTGCAGCAAGAGATTGAAGACATCGGGCTGCGCCTTCTCTCTTCCACCTCCTAGATCCCACCTCCTAGATCCCACTTTCAGGAAAAAAAACCGAAACCCTCACCTGAGAGTCTGTCAGCCGCCCGTCCTCAAAGATCTGCAGCAGTATATTAAAGACGTCAGGGTGCGCCTTCTCGATCTCATCCATGAGAATCAGACAAAACGGCCGCCTCCGGACAGCCTCGGTGAGCTTGCCGCCCTCCCCGTACCCCACGTATCCGGGCGGCGCTCCAATCAGCTTGCTGACAGCGTGGCGCTCCATGTACTCGGACATGTCTAGACGAATCAGAGAGTCCTCCTGAGCGTGAGTAAAGTGAAGGATGGGGAGAGGAAATGGGGGGCAGTTGAGCCAATATGTGCAACTGGCTTGCTGACAACATGCCGCTCCATGTACTCGCGCATGTCTAGGCGGATGAGCGAGGCCTCCTGAGGGTGTATGGTTGCTGGCCGCGTGGCGCTCCATGCACACAGACATGTCTAGGCGGATCTGAGAGGGCTCCTGGTTGGAGTGGTTGATGGGGAGAAGTGGGCAGTTGAACCCATATGCCCGATCAGCTTGCTGACAGATGGATAATGTCTAGCTCTGTCAGCAAGATGATCGGGTATGATCCATGCCCTGGCTCAATGCCCTGGCTCAATGCCCTGGCTCCATGCACTGGCTCATGGCTAGACGGATCATGGAGTCCGAGGTGACTTTAGAGTCTACACACGGACTCAAAATTCACCTTGGATCATGGAGCCCCACCCCAGTGGGCCTCACACTTCAGTCGGCCCTGCGGACGTAACTAGGGCTATCACACTGACCGTGCCCCAACGCCACTCACCGATCCATAGTAGTGCGCCGCCAGCACCTTGCAGAGCTCAGTCTTGCCCACCCCGGTGGGCCCCGAGAACATGAGAGCAGCCACGGGCCTCCGCTCCTCCTTCAGCCCCACCCTCGCCCTCTGCACCGCCCGTGCGATGGCCCTCACTGCCCCCTGCTGCCCCACCACCCGGGTCTCCAGAGCCTCTTCCAGCCCTGCCAGCTGCTGCTGCTCGGATGTGGTGAGCTGCTGCAGGGGAATGCCGGTCCAGTGGGACGCCACTGCCGCTATGTGCTCCGATGTTATTTCGATCGGACTGATCGACGGGGGGCGAGGCAGGGAGCGCAGGAGGGGTGGAGAAGGAGGAAAGAAAAGAGGTGAGTGCTTGTGCCCGCTGCACCGCCCGCGCCATCGCCCTCAACACCCCCTGCTGCCCCACCACCCCGGTCTCCAGAGCCTCCTCCAACCCTGCCAGCTGCTGCTGCTCGGAGGCCGTCAGCTGCTGAAGGGGAATGCCGGTCCAGTGCGCGGCCACAGAGGCAGGTTTATCTAATCTGATGGTATCAAAAGGAGCCAGACGCGAGGAAGGAGGTGGGCGCTCACCTGTCCGCCTTGTTATTGCCAGCCTTACCGCGCTTGGCATGACCAGCAGCAGAAGCAGCGGCATCAGCAGCAGCGAGTGAGGAATGAGGCAAGAGCTCACCTGTCCTCCTTGTTACTGTCCCCCTTGCTGGCCTTGGCACGACCAGCAGAAGCAGCGGCGTCAGCAGCAGTGGTGGTGTCGGCGTGGGTGTGGTTGTCAGACGAGAGAAACGAGGTGAGCGAGGTGAAGGGGTTCTGCCGTGCGTGCGCCTGGAAAGGGGAGAGAAACAGGAATAAGGACAGGGGAAGCGAGGTTGAATGAACAAGAGAAGCAGTGGCCCTTGTTTTAGCCACACCGCAACACAACCACCCCCATTCGCACCGCTTGAAACCCACTCTAACAGCACCACACCCATTCTCACCGCATCGTGAGCAGCCTGGGCCATCCTGATCTCTTTCCAGTACTCCAACGGCCCCCCACACGCCCCACACGCCCCACACGCCCACACGCCCCACACGCCCCACACGCCCCACACGCCCACACGCCCCACACGCCCCACACGCCCACATGCCCACACGCCCACACGCCCACACGCCCCACACGCCCACACGCCCCACACGCCCACACGCCCCACACGCCCACACGCCCACACGCCCACACGCCCCACACGCCCACACGCCCCACACGCCCCCATCCTCCTCTGCCTGCCGCCCTCTACAGCCAGCATTGCGTCAACCACACCAAAACCACCCCATTCTCACCCCACTCCACCACTACTCACCGCATCGTGAGCAGCCTGAGCCATCCGAATCTCTCGCCAGTACTCCTCCGGGTTTTGTTGCAGCACCCCACTGCCCCCCTTCCTCCTCTGCCTTCCGCCCTCTATCGCCAGCCGACTGCCCGCCTCGTCGATCAGATCGATGGCCTTGTCGGGCAGGCAGCGGTCGGGGATGAAGCGAGACGAGAGGGAGACGGCTGCTAATAGTGCAGTGTCTGTGATCACACACTTGTGATGGGCCTCGTATAGGTGCCTTAGCCCTCGCAGGATTGCTAGCGCAGCTTCCTGGCAGGGGGGTAAGAAAGGGAGGCAGCGGTCGGGGATGAAGCGTGACGAGAGGGAGACGGCTGCTAATAGTGCAGAATCGTTGATCCGGCACTTGTGGCGGGCGTCATCAGGTGCCTAAGCCCGTGTAAGATCGCCAGGGCGGCTTCCTGGCAGGGGAAGGGGAGGGACGGTGTGGGGGACAGGGGGGGAGGCAGGGGGTGGCCGCACTTGTGGTGAGATTCATACGGCTGCCCGCGTCGTCTATGAGGTCGAATGGCCTGGTCGGGCAGGCAGCGATCGGGGATGAAGCGCGAGGAGAGGGAGACGGCTGCCAATAGTGCGCTGTCACTGATCCGGCACTTGTGGTGGGCCTCGTACAGGTGCCACAGGCCTTGCAGTCTGGCTAGGGCGGCTAATAAGATCAAGAATCCTACTCGACTCCAGATCGGCATACGATCAAGCCTCCCACCCGCCTCCAAAGGCTCGTCCGTCACTGGCTGAAACCGAGTGCCCTGAAATTTATCATTTTCCACCATGTTACAAATAATCACATCCCCGTTATAAGATCACCTCCCTGCTTACCTCCAAGGGCTCATCCACCGTGACTGGCAGAAATCGTCAGGCCAACGCATTATACTTCTTGATTATAGTTGATAATTTCTCATATCAGTGATTAAAAAAAACATATCATCGCACTTACCTCTGAGGGCTCGTCCACTGTGACTGGCTGGAACCGCCGGGCCAGAGCCTTGTCCTTCTCCAGGTGCTTGCGGAACTCAGCGGTGGTCGTAGTGGCGATGCACTGCGCAAGGGGAGAGGGGAGAGGGGAGAGGGGAGAGGGGAGAGGGGAGAGGGGAGAGGGGTGGTCGCAGGTGGGGAAAGAGGAGAGGACCGGCTGGAACCGGCGGGCCAATGCCTTGTCCTTCTCCAGGTGCTTGCGACAGTCAGCGGTGGTAATGGTGGCGATAACCTGAGGGGAGGGACGGGGAGGGGAGGCGGGGAAGGGCAGGGGGAAGGGGAAATAGACGGCAGCAGTTGCCTTGCCTGGTGACTTTTGAGTTGACTCAAAAGTCACTTCGTTACAATTTCACATGACAGGGAGGGTGGGAGGCAGGGGAGGGTGGGGGGAAGGGGAGGGGAAGAGGAGAAAGGCGGCAGCAGTTGCCTGGTCAGTGCCTTGACCTGCTCCAAGGGCCAGCGGTGCTCCGTGGTGGCGATGACCTGAACCCCCCCAAATCACCAGCACCGCACTCCACCACACTAAACACATGTATCCTTTCTTACCTGGATCAGCCCCTTGGAGAGTGCTGGCTTGAGCAGATTCGAGGTATCCCGTCCTGCTGAATACGCCCCTCCGTCCCTGCCCCTTCCCACAGCCCCCGCCTCCCCCACCATAGTGTGAACCTCGTCTATCACCAGCACCACAGTTCCCAGCATCACCACACTCCACCGCACTCAACCGCTGACCCTCGCACCTGAATCTGCCCCCTGGAGAGTGCCGGCTTGAGCAGATTGGAGATATCAAGGCCCGATCCCCCTCCGTCCCTGCCCCTCCCCACGGCTCCCGCGCCCACCATCGTGTGCACCTCGTCGATCACCAGCACCACCTCGCCTGCAGCCGCCACCGCTTCTGCCACGAGGGAAGTAACCCTCAGTTCTAATTCGCCCCGCTCCTTCGCTCCTGCCATCACCCGCCCCATGTCGAGAGATAAGAGCCGCTTTCCCTGGTGACAGGGGATGCGGTGGGGAGGGAGGGAGGGAGGAAAGACAGGGAAGAGCGGCCCATAGAGTGCACCTCGTCGATCACCAGCACTATCTCCCCTGCTTCCGCCACCGCCTCTGCTACGAGGGACGTGACCCTCAGCTCCAGCTCGGCCCTCTCTTTCGCTCCTGCCGTCACCCGCCCCATGTCGAGAGATAACAGGCGCTTTCCCTGGTGAACCGGCAGGGGGGGAGGGAAGGGGGGGGAAGAGGGAGGGAGGAAGAAAGCGTGGCAAGTCATTCTCTGCAATGCGCAGCGCCAGCCCCTCTGCTATGGCTGTCTTATGGCTGTCTTGCGCACTCCTGGCTGTAACGTAGTGCATACCGGCAAGACCACTCACCTGCAACAACACTCCCACTCCCACTCACCTGCAAGAGCCCTCACCTGCAGGAACCGAGGCACGTCGTTCTCAGCAATGCGCAGAGCCAGCCCCTCTGCTATGGCCGTCTTGCCCACCCCTGGCTCCCCCAGCAGCAGCGGGTTGTTCTTGGTGCGACGAGCAAGGATCTGAGAGGGGAGGAATGGGCGGAATGGGCGGAATGGGCGGAATGGGCGGAATGGGCGGAATGGGCGGAATGGGCGGAATGGGAGGAATGGGCGGAATGGGAGGAATGGGAGGAATGGGCGGAATGGGAGGAATGGGAGGAATGGGAGGAATGGGCGGAATGGGCGGAATGGGAGGAATGGGAGGAATGGGCGGAATGGGAGGAATGGGAGGAATGGGAGGAATGGGAGGAATGGGAGGAATGGGAGGAGAAGGACGAGGAAAGTAGAGGTCTATGCGTCTTGCCCACCCCTGGGTCCCCCAGCAGCAGAGGGTTGTTCTTGGTGCGACGGGCAAGGATCCTCACAGCAGGAATTAACACGCTCCCAAACTGGTAACTTCGTTTGGCAAATTAGAAGCCCTCAACTTTAGGTGGTTGAAGAACTATTTTAGAGGTGCTTCAGGCCACGGCATGCCAAAATACTGTTGAATCGGGCCAGGGGTTTTTCCTGGCCGGATTTTGTTATTACTTGATGGGTTTTAGTCGCACGGAAACTTCGTCACTTCTGTCGAAAAACCCCGCAAGTAACCCGTCAACCAATCTCTCCCACCCCCCCCCCCAACCCTGAACCCCCCACTGTGCAGTGAATTTTATATCTATAAGGTTTGAACCACGTGATACTCGGGCTTTAATGGGGCGAGAGGGAGGAGCGGAACACAGGAGGACAGGGAAGGGGAAATGAGAATGCAAAACAATGTATAGTATCGTCTTCCCCAGCAATAACGGGTTTCTTACAGGAGCTTACATGCTGTCGCATCTCCATACAGTCACATCTCCATACAGTTCCCCAATCACCTACCTGCACCCTCGTGAGACCACCTTTCAGCCAGTCACAGGGCTACACAGCCAGCTACAGCTGCAGCCTGTTACGATCACACTTGTATACAGTCAAACCAGAACGTACCTGTTACAATCACTTTCATTTACAACCTACCTACCAGCACAACTCTAACAAAATACGGCCATTCACCGGTTTTACCTCTCCCTTCACTGCCATAGCTGTCAACACACTCCCAGCTACTGCTGTCTGCCCGTTACAATCACGCTTCAACACACTCACAATCCTCTGTTCACAATAGCAACGCTCACCTGCACAACCCTGGCAATCTCCTCCTCTCTTCCAAATTCCAATCACAGGGTCTATCTCCCCCCTCACTGCCATGGCTTTTAGATGCCCCCAAGCACTATCCCCCATTATGGTCCCATCTCCTTACAACCACATCACCACCCACCTGCACCACCCTAGCCACCTCCTCCTCTCTCCCAATCACAAGGTCTATCTCCCCCCTCACTGCCCTGGCTGTCAAAACACCCACATCTCTTGGTAACAACCAAACCACGCACAATTACCCTAAAAAGCACGTAACCATACTAAAGAACACATGATCACACCAAACCACACACAACCACCCTAAAGAACTCACAATCACACTAAAGAACATATAATCACACTCACCTGCACCACCCTAGCCACCTCCTCCTCTCTTCCAATCACAGGGTCAATCTCCCCCTTCACCGCCCTGGCTGTTAGGTCCGTGCAGAACTGCTCCAAAGCGCTCTGCTGGGCTGCTCGTGGGGGAAATGGTGGTGGGAGGGAGGAGGAGGAGTGGGGAGGGAGAGGAGAACAGCAGGAGTGGGGATTGTTGGGAGAACATTCCTTGACTAGTCAGCCCCCTTCACCGCCCTGGCTGTTAGGACCGTGCAGAACTGCTCCAAAGCACTCTGCTGGGCTGCTCGTGGGGGAGGTGGGTAGATGGGGAGGTGGAGGTGGGATGAGTGTTACGCCAGAGCAACACTAAGCAAGAAACGCGAATGTGGAAAGAAACCGAAGGGGCAGCATGCAGCATTGAGGCGTACCTTTCTTTCCGCGCCCCTTGTTCGCTGCCTGGCTGACTGCCTTAGGCTGAGCGCTGCTGCTGCTGGCAGGCCGAGAGGAGGGGTTGGAGAGCGACTCAGACGAGCGGCCGTCTTTATCGAGCTCGCCCTTGAGCCGCGCCAGCGCTGCCTGCTGCAGCCGATGCTTGCTCGCTCCCAGGCTGTGACACGCCGGGAAAGATGGGAGATGGGAAATGGGGAGTGGGGAGCGAGATGGGACCAGAGGATTTTGATTCAACTCAAACGCGCCGGAGAAAATGGGAGATGGGAGATGGGGGGTTGGAGTGGGGAGCGACACGGGACCAGATGCCTCGGAGAAAATAAGTCTTATAGAGCCATTCAACTCAAGAGCGAACATGGGGGACGGGGGGTGGAGTGGGGAGCGAGATGGGACCAGATGCCCCGGAGCCAGTCTTAAAGAGTCACCCCACGGTGCTGCCGCGTCGAAGCAGTAAGGCTCGAAGCCTCACCCCTCCTTCACAACGCATCGCAAAAAAGTGGCAATCTAAAAACCATTCGAGGTGGAGCGAGGATGCCGACTATCTGCAGAACATTCAAATACCATTCGCGTACCATCTTATAACCACACCTCTCAGCGCCGCCACACCCAGATGCTCCGGAGGGATACTGTAATCGCGCTGCTCCCTAGGGCATCTCGGTTACAAGCACATACCGCCACAGGCACATGCCGCCTTCTACTCTCACCTCTCGATCACCAGCTTCGCCCCCTCGTGTTCAACCTGCACCAGCGTCACAACCAGATGCCGCTCAGGTGCGCCACACCCGGATGCTCCGGAGGGATACTGTTAGCGCGCTGCTTCCGCAAGTCTCACCTCTTATTTACCAGCACGTACCGTCTTACACTTTCACTCTATCACCTCTCGATCACCACCTGCGCCCCCTCGTGCTCAACCCGCACCAGCGCCACACCCAGATGCCGCTCAGGCGTGGTAGTGTTGTGGCGATGCTTCCTGAGCCATCTCGTTACAGGCACATGCCGCCTTCTGCTCTCACCTCTCAATCACCAGCTGCACCCCCTCGTGTTCAACCTGCACCAGCGCCGCCACCGCCAGATGATCAGGAGAAAACAGTACTGTTTTTCGCTGCTTCCGCATGTACCGTCACCGCCAGATGCTCGGGAGGGATACTGTTAGCGCGGTGCTCCGCAGTTCTCACCTCTTGGTTACCAGCACGTACCGCCTTGCTACAGACTTGATGGAAATAAGACCTCCGCAACCCAGCTGTAGTCCAACTACGACTCACTTCTTGGTTACCAGCACGTACCGCCTTGCTACAGACTTGATGGAAATAAGGCCTCCGCAACCCAGCTGTAATCCATCTACGACTCACCTCTTGGTTACCAGCACGTACCGCCTTGCAGTTTTACTCTCTCACCTCTCGATCACCAGCTGCGCCCCCTCGTGTTCAACCTGCACCAGCGCCACCGCCAGATGCTCCGGCGCGATGAAGTTATGGCGATGCTTCCGCGACTCTTCCAGCGCTTTTTCAAACACCCGCTTGCTGCCGGCCGAAAACGGCACCTCGGAAGCCGGCTTGCCAGCCGGCAGACCAACCGCGGCAGGCAGCCGGCCGTCCCTAATCATTGCGCGGACGGCATCTCTTGCGCTGCTGATAGTCATTCCCGAGCCGAGATACCCGCCGGGCTTTCCGGCGCTCGCGAAATCCTCCGCGATAAGACCCAATAGGAGCTGCTCCGTCGCGACCTCTTTCCGCCCGATAGCCTTAGCTTCCGCCTGCGCCAGCATGACGGCTTTAATCGCGCGCTCCGTGAATCGCTCGAAGACAGCTGTCACCACCGCGCGCTTGCCGCAACCGCCGCCGCCATAGCCGCCGTCGCGTTCGCGTCCTGCGGAGTGAGCTGGAAACTTGATTTGACGGTCAGAAGCTTCGTCGAAGGCCTTCGCGTGCGAGAGGGAGAAGGCGGAGGGGTTGCGCGAGAGCTGGTGATGGTGCAGGCCGTGAAACTCGCCGTGAAACGCGGAGGAAGTGGCATGGGAGGAGGGAATCGCGGACGAGGTGCGGTGAGAATTGACTTGACGAGAGGAGCCAGAGGAACGAGAAGGGCGAGAGGAACTGGGTAGCGACGAATGGACGAGAGACGATGACGGAGCGAGAACCGAAGATGAAGGGGTCTGGCAGCCCATGGCGCATAGCGAGTGAAGCCCCATGGTGCCCGAAAATACTGCTTCACTGGTTAACAAAATCCCAAGAGATGGGAATTGGCTCCTGATTTTGAGAGAGCTCGGGTCCCAGACGGAACTCGTGAGCGCGGTCGAGGAGAGAGCCCCGAAGAGAACTCCTAACTTGGCCGCTGCGTTACTAAACCTCGCTTGCACGAGGACGGGATTACGTACGGAGACGCAACAATTAGCAACAGCTGCTGCTGCTCCTCTCTGCTCCGTTCGTGAGATGCATCGACTAAAAGGGGGAGTTCGGCTGTGGCTATGGAGTGTGAGTTGTGGGCTGCGACCAACGAGCAAGCGCCATGCCATGGAGCCAAGAAAACGATTTCGTGCTCTGCCCGAGCAAATCGGACGGACGAGAAGCACACAAATCTGCGATTCCTTTCGGGCTCTGGCTGCTCGAGCCGCCTCGAATTCTCAACATCCTCCGCCCTGACGCGAGTCTCCGCCGCATCGTCGCGCAAAATTACCCCCCCACTGCCTGTGTGCCTGCCTCAGGCAAAACCCCAGGCGCCGCTCGGTTGGCTGAATGCGTGCGGTGCAGCGACCCTTCTGCCTCTTCCCCCAGCAGGGCGAGACATGCGCGCAAGCGGGTGGATGTTCAGCAGAGGGCCCCATCTGGCGAAAGTGCCAGCTTGATTCCATGAAGGATGACGTGGATCCACACCGGCAGATCCAAAGGAAGGCGATAATCTGGTACCAATGAGGAGGGAGAAGAAGCTTGATTGGATGAAATCCCGTGACAACCGCTTACCCCATTTGATGAAAACGTCTCATTCGGCAAAACGACGTGTTATACTGTGCTACCACGTCATCCATTTCTCCCTGATCTATGATTGGCTCGATGAATTACGCGTTACAATAGTCGGCGTACGCCTTTCTTCCTCGCCACTTCAAGTTCTAAACACTGCACAATGTGCTAACCATGAAAGGATATAACCCTCCAAAGGCGTGGTGCTTGATCAAAGCATCTTTGGACTAGCTCAAAATATAACAGGAGGATCCTTGTACTACCCTTGTCGCGGTTAACATGGCTTCCTTCATTCAATCCAGTGCCCACTATACATCCATCTCATCCATTTTTTTAGGCTGGCGCTTACAAGGCAGCATTCTTCCTCCATGATCAGGCGCCAATGAAATAGAGCTCAGCCGCTGCAGAATGGCTGTTTCAACATTGTTGACATCCTGAACCCCCAAGATTTTGGAACACTCCTCTTGGAAATGCTGATTGCTGGAGTCCATCACTATGGTTGCAAGGCTAGTTGCCAAATCAGGCAAGCAATTCCCAACCTGAAAGAGAACTCGGTGTCAAGTGCTCTACTCAACGACAATTAAATCTGCATGGATTTTCTTGCCTACCTTCGCTTGGTGTACGGATGAGAAGTCACCAGGAAGCTGAGTCTTCAACTGCCGCAAAGCTGCAGCAACTGCATCCTTGACAAGCTTCGGCAGAACTCTCTGTGGGACGTTCTCGGGTTTCACACTGCATTGCGAAAAGTGCTCAAGGAGGGGGCTTCAACTCAGAATGCATGCACCGGGTAGAAAAGGACAACGTAGATAGAGAGATAGGGACAGGGGAGAGGGTCTTACCATGAGATATGTTCATTGTGCAGATGGAGGAATATGCTGAGATGTTTCTCCATAAAGCTCTTTCCCGCATGGAGAACACCAAAAAAGTTGTGAATAGCAGCATCCGCAATGCTGATCCCGAAACTGTTCCAGAGTTTGCTTTCTGACAAGGCCATTATTACACTGGTTCCGTCAAGAAGAGGCGACCAGTCTTTGAACACTTTCACCTGAAAGCACAATGAACTCCATTAAATCTTCTAACATGATGTGGGAAAGAAATATGCTTCCTGGTCTACTCTTCACTCACTGTTACGTTGTCCTTTGATCCTTCCTCGTACGCAGCAACGCAGTCCAGATTCCACAAGCGATGAGTCATGCTTGCTGATGCGAGGCATGGGGCAGCCTTTGGTTGCCCCTGCTTTAATGCAGACCAAATTTCACGTTGTAATAGCAATGACTGTGACACGCCTGACTTAAACCTTTCTAAACTGCTGAACTCGGTGTCATCGTCATCTGGGGCATATGATAACGTTATTGATCCTGGGGCGGTCTCTTTCGTTGCGGATGGCAAGTCATGAATCAATGACTGAAACTCGTCGCAGAAATTTCCCAAGGAAAGGCCGATCGAAGTCTGAAAAGGATTGTAGAAGTCAGGCAACAGTTCAGCCACAAAGGAACGAAAGAGCAAATGAAGTTGGCATACTTGTGATTGAAGAACGGTCACCTGCAAACGGAGAAGCGTCGTTGAGTATTGGCCGCCGTGTTCAATGAATGAAGGCAAGACGACATGTACTTACCATCCCTATGAGCTCGTGGACTTTCAAGGCAGCATCCTCAACGACTCCGTGAAAATCGAAAGAAACCTCGAAGCCAGAGAAGTAGGCTCCCTTTGGCTTCTCGATTGATGGGAGTTGCGACCACGTCGGTTGGCCTTCAGCAGGAATGTCAATAACATACCTCTTGACCTCGGTGTCGTTCATTCCTGAGCAGGTTACGCACGTGAACGTCCATCACACTTCGAAAATGTACACGAAGCACTTACCTGTGGTCATCAACGCAACGGCGTCACCTGTGGAACGCGGAAACGGCAAACCGTAAAAGGAGATTTGTGTTGGCTATAGATGGTGCTTCGGTATGTCAGGAACTTGGAACGACAATGCCCAACAGAAGGTTGCAAAGTTCTCACCCCACGAAATTTGTGGGAAATCGCGTGCTCCAACAGTCTGTTGGAAGGCGGAAGACGAAACCAGACGATTGATGAAGGTCGCGGGATTCTTGTCCGCCAGAGGCTCTCCAGTGTGATTTATCGCGAATGTCCCTCTTGAAGCCTCAACATTGTCTACTGAATTGACGTCAAGAGCTTTGGATAACGAGATAGTGATGCATCTGGAATCTGCTTCATCCGCAGAGGCAGATTGACAGCATCTAATGGCTTCGACGACCAGAGCATGAATTGCTGCCATGCCGTCTAGCCTAGCCTGACAAACCTCCATGTTGACTTCGACAGAGCAAAGAAGCGAGGTAGGGCAAGCCTTGAACAACGGGATGGTAGCCTATGAAGTTGGCTAGGTTTAGTATATGTCTCCAGGGCTTGAAGTAGACCGTGTGTCCTAGGGTTGAAATGGTGCCCTATGAGTCCTGCGAGAGTGTGCTGGGCTAGCCGCAATAACTGGCATTTACCCGTATGTTGAATAACTACACGAATATAACACGTCGGCATGCATATCAACGTAGCTAAAAATGATACCGTATCTTAATTTATAAATGCATTCAGCTACTGCATTATAAATGCATTAAGTGTCCTCTCCATCGAGATAGATGCACTCTGCACAAAAACAAAACGGAATACAACAGGCTTTGTTAGTGCACTCAAACAAACACAAACTTGAGTGGAGCTTATAGTATGGTGGGAAATTCATGTATGAGGGCAAGTTCACTCTTGGATTGAGCATTCCTTCATCTGCTAACTCCCCATACCTACAAGTGCCATTCCTCGTTAAGACACACCTTTGCTCTTCCTGATTGGTCGAAGTGAACACGAGATACTATCCCCTGGCTGGACGAGAACAACCACCCAACCTCTGCAGAAAACGAGCCTTCTTCTGATGGTTGCACGTGACTCCAAACGCCCTGGGTTGCAGAAGTGGCAGAAAGCAAGAGCGGTGGGCAGAAACAGGACAGCCTTGAGCGGTAGCATGAATGAAATGTAAAGCAACAACTGGAGGAGGATTGAAGTGAATGGCAAGCGGAGGGAAGATAGGGAGAGGGAGAGAGATAGGGAGAGGGGAGGGGGGTGGGAGGGGAAGGGGTTGGAGAAGAAGGTGAAGATCAAAGACATGGAGGGATGCGGCACAGTGAGACTAAGTGGGCACACCATCTCATCGCCTTCCTCTGGCAGAAGACGCATCCCCTTCCCTTCGCCCTGCTGGCTTTCCCACCCCACCTCTGGCAGCAGCATGAGCGTCCCATCCTCCACAGCTGAGGTCCCCACCCCAGTTGACTTCTGAGTCGACCCAAAAGTCAAAACACTCATCCCCTTCCTTTTGTCCTGCAAGATTCATACCTCTGGCAGCAGCATGAGCGTCCCATCCTCCGCAGCTGAGGCCTCCATCTGTCTTGACAGCTCCTTAAGGGTTGAGCCAGCTAGCTCCACGGCAAGAACCGATGGTGAGATGGCTGGCTGCTGGACAAAAGGGGTGTGGGAAATCAAATGCATTGCACTGGCAGCTGAGGGCCCCGTCTGTCTTGACAGCTCTGTGTGCGTTGAGCCAGCTAGCTCCACTGCAAGAACCGATGGTGAGGTGGCTGGCTGCTGGGCAAAGGGGCTGTTGGGAAACAAAGGCAGTGGAGAAAGGGGAGGGAAATGGGACAGCGACAAGAGAAAAGGACAGCAAAAGGGGCAATCAAAAGTGAAAGTGTGTTCATTTCACATAGATTTTATGTCGAGTGATAACTCACACCTTCAGCAAAGTGCATAAAAAAATAAAAATAAATTTAAAAAAAAATCAGAAACCAGCAATTAAATGGAGGAAACGCATGACAGCCCCCGAAAGCTTGAGAGAAATCTTACAGCGGTGGGCAACTGGGCTTCTCTTGCTGTCACCTCCCACCTCCCCTCAATCCCCTTTAACCTCCCCTCTCTCACCACCTCACTCCCCTCCCCCTCCTCAATCATTTCCGAACTGAACAGTGCCGCACCATCTGCCAGCTCAGCGCCGCCCGAAAACGGCTCCACCCACTTCTCCCTGTGCAGTGCCAGGCTGGCAATCCGCGGCACGCCTGCTCCCCTGGCTGGTAGAAATTGCTGCACGACCCGCACTCTCACTCTTCCCCTGCCACTCGCAGCTTCCACGCCCTCCATAGCCAAGCAATGCTCCACCTGAAACGGCCCCTCCTGCCACGCTGCTGATCCCCTCGTTTGAATCACCTTCGGTAGCTTCACGGCCTTCGGCGTCACTGCCACGTGGCACCCACTGTGTGACCCGCATGGCGTCCACGCTGGCAGGAGCGGGCATGGAGGAGGGCTGGCCAGCTCGGACGAGCAGATATGAACCGTCCGCTGTGAACGCAAACACGTCATCAGCAGCTGCGGTGTCCGCGGCACCTGTGCTTCCAGCACTGCTGCTTCGACTATCACCATCAGCACCACCAGCAGCTAGTTCCAGAGCCGTCCTCTCCACGCTGTACTTGGGCGGAGACGCCGCCTCGCACCCCGCAGCAGGCGCGTACCGCACCAACGACGACTGCACCCGAGCATCCCCGCGGCCAAGGCTCTCCCCGCGGGCGGCGCTGGACGTCTGCGCCTGCCAGGCGAGTTGCGCCAGCCCCCAGTCGCGGAACGCCTCGGGGACGACGGACTGCGGGAGCTCTAAGGGGTGGCCGAAGCGGGAGAAGTCCACGGAGTATCCCGCCCACTCGCCGGAAAACGCGGCGGAAAATGCTTGCCAGGCGGAAGCGGCTGGAGTCGGAGCGTGTGCGTCAGAATCGGTTTTCTCGGTCACGTAAACTTGCGCTGCATCCGCTCCCGCTACATCCGCCGCTTTCGTTCCATCAATTTGGGCTGCTGACGTAATGTGAACGGACCGGAGAGCGCGCTGGCTCGTGGTCCTTATAACGAGTGGAGCACATAACGAGCTGGGAACGCGATGGGGTGCGCGGAGAGGGGCAAAATGCGCGTGCCGCCGCAAGCGGCGGGGACGACATTGTGATGAACGAAGCAGCAGTAGCGGCTTAGCTGAAGGTGCGGACCGGTTGATTAGGGGTGCACGGAGATTATGAGATTTGGAAGCGATGGTGTCACGGACTGGTGACACCAACGCCGATTGAGGCGTACGACTGACGCAGATCTGCATCGCGGCTCGAATCTCGACGCGCTGAGCAGAAATAATAGCGCTGGGGGTTAGCGTGAAGGAGGGAGGGAAAGCGAGCTGCTACTAAGCAGCAATGGCAAGGTAATGAGCAATGCTAGATTGCTATGGTACGCATTCCGTAGTGTGGCTGCCTTCTAGATTGAAATGGACTCATTACAGGGTGTGCCCATGCATTATATGCGGTGATGTACGGTGCAAAACTCTGGAAATCCTTTCCGTGGTTCCACCGCTTGAAACCTCGAGGTACCAAATTGGACCGTATAAAACGTACGAGGGAAATTCTCGTGGAACATGGCTGGGGCTTGCGCGACGAAAAGCATGCCTGTTAGTAAACTCTCCGGCTTCCTGGTAGAAAGCCTCAAATGCAGAGGTACATAATAGGGATCATATACCTTCATTTTTATTAGAGGCTCAATCAAGCCACTCTAGAAGCAAATGCACACGGAAATGCACAAAAACTATTGCCAATGCATGCTTTACGAGAGCAAGGGGATGTCCGTTCTCCTAAAATTCATAATTTCCCTTATCAACATTCTCCTCTCAGTATCCAAGCAATCATTCCACTGGCAGCGCAGTTGTTCTCGCTGCTCTTGCTTCGCCTGCTGCTGCTTTGCTGGTGCTGTTCTTTAGTTGCGGCTGCTGCTGCTGCTGCTTCCACAAGGGTTCAATCAAGTGCAACTCGCCCCAACTTAGTTCCTCGAAGCTCAGCTGTATGTACTCCAGATGAACGAGGACGGCGTGGTGTCTGAGAAATGTCTTGCATGCGTGAATCCGACGGCCGGGCAGCATGTCAAGCCATCAGCCCTCGCAGGCAGGAAGGTTCAGGTCAGGGATGATGGCTCGAGCACCAAGTGGCTTTCCCCAGCATGCCCATCCCTCCATTGATGTTGCTGTGCGCACATTGCATGCTTCGTCACAGCGAATTGCTGCACCCTGGGTTTGAAGTGGCTCCGCAGACAGCACCGCTATTCCCAGCCTCTCCTTGCTTCTAAAGTAATCCGCCCAACTCAGCCGCGTGCTGCTGCACTTAGAGACGATTCCGACACAACTCTGTTGTTCCGGGGCGCTAACAGCTCTTTGAAAGGCGGGCTCTGAGGAAAGCGTCGATTGGGGCTCGGGTCGTCTTGGTGCTGCCGACCTGCTGACCCGGTTGGAATCGAGAAGCTCCCATGCTGGTGCCGGAGTGATCTCTGTGCTGAGTACGTCAGCAGAGAGACTTGTCTTGTCAGCAGATGCTGCAAGCAGCATGGCTGGCGGGACCGCTGCTGCAGGAGTTGAAGCACAGGAGCGGTGGATCCTGCGCCTGCGCGCATCTTGGCTGCATGCATTGCCGCTTGCAGCACCGTCACTGTTGGTATCGCCATGATTATCATCACGGCTTCGTTTCTTTGTTAGTGAAACTCTGAAGGCGTGATTTCTCACCATCTCCTTTGCCCAATGACTGTGCAGCGCCATACCGTAACCAATAGGGTTACACTCTTGAGTCAGTTGCACCCTTGGAGCTCCGAGAGAACTCCGGGCTTTGGAGTGCGGCACAAATGTAACTTGCTGAAGTGCGGCTGTGCAGCAGACGCACAATGGAGCCTCCTGAGGGAGGGATTGAAGCCCAGGCGAAGTCGTGACACCAAAGGGATCGGAAGGAAGAGATACAAGGGTAGCACGCCTTGTAACACTTCACCAGATATACAGCCGCTGGGACTGGGTGGGAGGGGAATGGACTGCGAGATCTAGGAGGGGAGTTTGGCAGGAATGAGGCATGAAAGGGAGGGCTGTCAGTTGTCTTTCAATGTCTTTCTCAGCAGCACGGGTACGAGGCGATGAGCTGACGACACTCTCGAGAAATATCCGCAGGTGGACCACATGCCCTGGCCGCCATACCGTGGCCCTTTCCACAGGCTCTGCCTCACCCCGAACCTCACAGAGCACGGGTCTCGACGGATCCGCTTGCACGTCGCCCGATTTGTCTGTGATGGTCGTCCGACGAAGCGGAGTCCGCTTTCTACAACGGACCATCATGGCGACGGATTTTCAGGGAAGGGGGGAACGGGGGACAATAGGATTGGCTCGAGATGCAAATCAGCTCTGTCACGAGGATCAGGTGCTGCACCAGACACGCGGGTGAGTTTTGAGTCGATAAAAAAATCAGGTACGCCATAGGTATGCGACTCAGTAGAACGACGGTTC